GAAGAATTGGTGATAGAGAATTTTAATGGGGGGAGGGAATATATCTTGTCTTTATCTTATGGCCTAATAATTACTTTAACGGTGAAATACAGAGGCAATATGTGGAATTAACAATAACTCTGCTCTGTTTTAAGGAAGAAAAAAACAAAAACAAAAAACCTTCTTGAAGACAAAATAGTGGACTAATTTTGAAGTTTTCTTACTGAATGTTGTTTCCTGTCCTGTGTGTGTTCCAAAGATTAAAGAGGTACTTAATATAAAATGATGTGAACTAAAAATATTATATCTCTTCAAAGGAAGAAAAAGGGGCTTTAAAATATATTTGGCAGGGTCTCTGAGGACTTGTAGAAATAAGTTGCAGCATTTTTCTCTTTGAAATTGCTAAACTAGTAAAATCAGGTAGCCAATTTTATTGACTTTGTTTTAGAAACTTAGAAGATTACATCATTAGAAAGCTTATATTTTAACACTTGAATCACTGCAAATCGGTTTTTACCAAAATATGTAGCATTAAATGCAGTACTAAAGAAAGCTGCAAAGTGTTATGCTCTAATTTCTTTAGTGTTGAGCTGTGCTTAAAAGAAATGTAAGAAAACTTGGAACCTGAAAGATGATGTTGAAAGTGTTGTTTCAGGGTAGCAGATAGCGCCATGAAGGAGGTAACCCTGTTGCTACAGGGTGTCGCTAGTGCCTATAGCAGCTTTGAGTAGTTGAGTTGCAACTGATCTTTCACTCTTGCACCCTGCAGGAGAGCTACTAAGACATAATTTATTAGATTAGGATAACTGCCAAACCCTAACTATTCAAAGCTGTGGCTTCCATGTGTAGCTTTGTTCATATTAGTCTTATGTGCTGAAATCAATTTTGGGTAAGTCTTAACGTTTTTAAAGCATCTGAGTAAGTTAAGATTACTTGCATATACTGTTAGTTTTCATTGACTTCTAATATTTATGAATATGGTAAGAGGTGGGTTTATATCTTGAGTGATTAAAAACTGATGTTTCTCTCTCTAGTTGTGATAATCAAAACGTGCGACTGTGTGGCTAGTGCTTAGCAGTTACGATAGGTCTCGGCTCCTTTTCTGCCTCACATGAATAAGGTAGTTTCGATTATTCCATATCCTTAGAAAGTAATTGTGCAAACTGTAATGTAATTGCAAATAGAAATAAAATTTTCCCAAATCTTATGCTCCATCAGCTATTGAAGCTGTCTTTTATTCCCAAGTGATTGCTGCTAAAGACTTAGCTGCTTCTGTCTTTTTCTTTCCTGGCCACTCACAAAGTAACCGACTGGTCTGATTTGCCTGTAAGGGATGATTGCAGTGGTGGTGCCTGAAAAAAGGTTAAGAGATATTTTGGATGCAGTGCACCTGTTTTTCTAACTACGATTATTAAATAATACCTGTCTTTTGACCCATGGATATTAAATAACTAAAGATAGTATCTTTCCTAGCTGAGTGCATGCTAGGGAAGAGATTAGCCGGGAGAAACCTTTAAAGGCAGTAGATGACTAAGCAGTTTTCCTGACTGACGGCTTTATTCTGAAATGCAGCCAGAAGAGAAATGAATTATTGAGCCAAAAATTCTTCCTGCCTTTCGAAGGAGGAGAGCCAATTCTGTGGATGAAGACAGAAATTTATATCAAGGTTTTTACCTTCAATTTTTAGTGTTATCACACCAATGATTGTGGTTGACTTTGAATGGTCATCAGGTTAGTAAGTTAAACCTCAGCTTGAATCCCATGAGTTTTTATGCCTTTTAGGTCTGAATAATGTGCAGATACTGTCGGATTAATTTAGCTTCTCTGGCAAGCTTCTTGGGAATGGGCACTGTGGTTGTTACTGCCATGTGAAATTCTGTTGGCCCAGCTGCCTTGTGTTTCAAGGCTGGTTCTGGCTTCTCTCTCTTCAGTTCTGTAAGCATGCTGTCTCAAAGGTTTTAACTGCTGTGTACCAGTTTTACTATCCCATGTGACTTAGATGTTATAGCTCTTATGCGGGGTAGTAGATGCACAGATGTAATAAAGGAATTTCTAAACTGTTACCACTTTATTAATAGGCAAGTGCAAGAGGTATACCAGTCTCCCTGGAAAAACTTACCGAAATCAGTGTGTATTGCTCTTTCTGGAGCTTCTTTATTCCTTCTAATAGCCTTGGCAGAAACAGAAAATGTTGTTCTACTTATCTGAGTCTTTTTTTTTTTTTTCCCCTTTATGGGAAAGCAAAAGCTTTCGTCGGTAGTTTGAAAGTTCTTGTCTCTTTCCATGATTTTCTGTGCTTGTCTTCAGTTCTGTGTGATGCCCATTCATTACACAAATTACTATATATAAGCATCATTAGAGTTAAGTGAGTGGAGTCTTCATAGCTTTGATGGTGTGTGTTTTATTCCATTATTGACATTTTTTTTTTCAGTAACTCTTCTACCTGGGGCAAGGTTCCTAGGGTCTGATTTCCTCCCTGCTATACAAAAGGGTTGAAGCAACCTAATGTAGCTGTATATAGTGGAAGATGCTGTAAGGGTAGCTTTCTAAAGAGTTTATAAAGTAGACTGGAACTGATTAGTTCACAAACAAATAACAAAATATATTGTATTTCTGAAAATATTCTGTAAAACATGAAGGCTACCAATGAGGTATGTGAAAGGTCTCTAAATTGCTTGAGAGGGGGTTGGTGCATAACAAAGAAATGCACAACTGGAGTTCACACAAATTACTTTCCTTGCTGAGCTTCTGCTTATATTTAAAAACATATAGGTCTGTTGCAAGCACTGTGTACTAGGCTGTTAAAAGTGCAGCCTGTGTCCATAGAACAAAATCAACAATTAATTCCACTCAGCCTACAAAGCTAGTGGGAATATACACATTGCCCATTCCAAAGTCTGTGTAACCTGTATGCTGCAGACAGGTCCTTCCAAGGGTCATTATGGCTAGGTTTTGAGTATTGTGTGGCCAACCCAGCTCCCTCCTCGCTCCCCCACTGCTGCTGGATTGGGACTCTGACAGTGAATACATGTATAGTATTAGATTACAGTTCAGGATAAATATCTGTTTTGTCAATGCTGTGTGACTTGAATCTTTCCACAGTTGTGGTCCGTCAATTTACAGAACATGGGCAAACAGCTGCACCTGCATGGACTCTCATTTGGAGCTAGTAAAGTTTGTTTTGGGCACAGTAGCCTGCTTGTACAGTGCAAATTGTATGTCAGTCTGTCTGTGATAACCATGAGGTTATAATTTCAACAAGATAATAAAATGGAGTAAAAAGCATGAAGATGGGCTAAAGAGGAGTATAACTGCTGTTGCTAAAGGGGAAAAAAAGAAAGAAAGGGTGTAAATGAATAGTCTAAACTTAATGGAAAAGTTGAAGCTGCAGCCTTTTAATGCTCAGGTATGTGATGGGACTGCTTTTATGTATTCAGCTTCTTGCTTGCAAAGGTATGTAATAGTAAAAGGCAAACTTAAAAGAGCTTTTAGCTTTATGGCGATTCTCCATAGAATTGTAGAACTTTCCTAGGAGAAGAAAAATATTCGGGAATTCCTCTTCTGAAGAGGTTTATAACTGGCCTGTATTTCATAATGTACAAAGTAATACTAGCGCTTGGTCTGCTTTCATTTCCGTAGTGCTACTGGAGTAGGCTGCGGCTATTGGAAGTAAAAGGAAGGTGCAAAAGTCATTGAGGGATAAATCTGATCAATGGAAGTGGATATAAACAGGGGTAGGAATAAAAGGGCGCATAGGAAGGCAGAGGGCAGAACGTGTAACTGTTCCACTGCGAGCTGAAGGACCAAGTTAAACGGAACTGGCTCTAGGATTTGTGGTTGTTGTAGCTCTTTGTCTGTAACAGATGTGGGTGCTGCCCTTTGAGGAACGGAGGCTTCCGACTGAGTGACGAAAGCTGTTCTCTGAAGGCCACATATGCTGAGGATAGCGTGGTGTGGTTTGTTGGGTTTTAGCGTACAAGAGTATTAAAAGCCATCTGAGAAACTTAGGTCACTTGGTTATATAAGGGTGATACCAAGAATTGTTTTGAGAAAAGCCTTTGCAATAGGGTTGGACGTTAAGAACGTAGAATACCTTTGTGGATTAGAAGGAAGAACTATTTACAACTATTTTTCTGGCCTTATTTTCTTCTTCTCCTTGCAGTAGTGTGAAATGGTACCATAGTAACTGCATTTCTGAGAAAAATATTTGTCCCTCAAACCCTGAACATCTTCTGCTTGTCAAAGCTGCAGCTACTGAACTTAATTTTAAAATTATTTCAGTTAAGTAGAGAAGGGGCTTCCTGAGAGAATTGTAAGAGCTGTCTTATACCTTCATCAAGTATAATTTTTCACCAAGTTCTGTAGATGCACTTCTGACAAGTGGAAACTCCTTGGGGTTTTCTGGGACAAGTTTCTCCAGAAAACAGAGAAAAAAGTGCTCCAAAATAAGTGTTCATGGTATATTCTAACAGTTTTTGAAAGGGAAACACTCAGTGTACTGATCTTTGACCATATAGTGAAACATGACTCCTTGAATATGTGTATGTAGAAGACTTAGTAATTGTTATTTTATTGGAATTACAGTTTCAATGAAGGAAATAGAAAAGAGGCAGTCTTCCCCTCTACTCCTCCAGTGAATGCTGTCAGAGCTTTTTAGTTATTTGGCTGCCTTTAGCCAAAATATATTAGTAGTGTTGTTAAACTGTGTGGAAATACGGCATAAAATTACAACTTCTGCATGGAGTTATAAAGGTATTGGAAAGCTAAATCACATCTATCTTAGAGGGAAAATAAGTCACCTATGAAAACTTGTTTAGTTATTTTGTTTTTCCCATTATATTTTTTCCCTACAACCTACAGATGTACAGTGTTTGGAGTGCACAACTGAGTGGAAATTGCATTAAACAGCAGCATCTTTTGTTTTCTTTGTTTTTAATATTTCAGTTGACCTTCATATCTGCTGCTTAGACTTTGCTCAGCTTCAGCACACTAATTAGCATCGTTATTGTCCTTCTCCATCTCTTACTCGTCCTCATCCTCTTCCCTGGCAATCCAATGAGATTCAATGCTAAAGATTTGGCTTCGCTGGCCAGGCGACCGTCAGGTTGTTTTGACAAGGAAGGAAAATTGAAGATTTGCAGAGTGGTTGGGGATGAAAAATTAATAGGTAAAAATGACTTGCATTGAAAACTACCTGTGGTGGATGTGCATGTTTGACTGCTGCTGTTATCAGCTTACAGTTTCACTAATTGTGTATTTCTCGGTGTTTTCAGTTTTCCTATTTACTGATGCTTGAGTGGTGCTAAATATCTTTCTAAATTATTGCCTTTACACCTTAGCTTTGGATTAGGCTATCATTCCAATATGGAAACGAAGATGAGAGCTGAGGCCCTTTGGTTGCTAATTAGCTAAATCTACATTTGGGGGAAAAAAAAACGGTTTAGAGAGGTTCCCTCTATGGGTTCAGTTGAATATATGATATTATGCCAAACTCTCTAGTCAGCTCTTGGGAGTTGAGCACTAATAAATAGACTTTTGGTAAGCAAGTGTTTGTTTTTTCAAAAGTTAATGTTGTGGTAAGTAAGCTTTAAAACCAGCTCTTCAATTTACTCAAATTTTCAAGTTTTCTTTGTGATGTACCCAAGAAATAGTACACGGGACAGAAAATGACCTTCTTGTGAGAGAAGATAGGCTTACGCTACCAGTGACTGCTAGTCCCCAGTCATTAGTTGCCATGTTTAAAGTTTAGCTCTCCAGTTCCTCAAAAAACAAAGCCAACCCCCTTGCATTCTGTTTTATTGTTGTAGGGGATTTTTTTTTTATGGATCAGTTCCCAGCTCCTTTACAGGCTCGTTCTGGCTTTTGCGACTGTATTTTAAATGTGTCTCTCAATTTCCAGTAAGCTTGAATAAATGTCTTTTTTGCTAGGTAGCTGTTAGGAAATAGCTCTTGTTTAGCTGTAAAATCATTTCTAATGCAATAATTTCAAAAACAGCAAACTTTTATTTTCCCTTGTCCCACTTGGTGTTTAGTTGTGATATATTTACATATAATTATTTTTAATTAAACAAACAGGGCACAGACTTGATTGTGCTGAGGGACTGAAAACATGTTGTGCATGTTTTTTCAAAATGTTGAAAAAAAATTTATGCCCTTTCTAATGAAGAGGCTAATTGAATAGCCAGAGTTTCCTCCTGCGGATGCCGAAAGCTTTCTGGACAGACAGCTAGTGAGTCTCCACGTCCAGCTTTGCTGGGGTTCCTTGGCAGGGTTTGGTTGCCTTATTCTCCTTGTAGGCAGCGTAGCAGGCCCTGCCCAGTGAATATTGGAGGGTTTGGAAGTGATCTTCCCATCAGCAGCAAACTGAAGACAGGGCAAGGTGGAAGATGCGTGGCTGTTGCAAGAAGAGGAGATACGTTGCCTCTCTTCAGCTCAAGATGTATTGGATTTTTCTTCATGTGTGAATTTATTAAATGTTCATATTGCTCAATCTGGGGTGTTTTTTAAAGCAGCAAATGGAGACAGACCAAACACTCATCTAGCCCAATATGCTATATCTAGAATGATCAGTGGTGGCTGACTTACCAAAAATGCGTTTAAGAAACTATGCATATAGAGAATGCTGCTGTTGCCCAGTGTATCCTTCTGGCTTCCAGCCTTCGGCAGGTGATGGTCCCCTGAGAGAAGGGTTGTATTTTAGTCAGGGTGTACGCTAGCCACTAACTGACTCATCATCGGTGAATTTGACTAATCTCTGGGCTTGCTTATTCTTCGCACTGTTATGAGGTAGTGAGTTGCTGAAGTTTTGTATGCAAACGTGCTTTACTAGAGAGAGCAGCGCTGTGAATGCGACGGGACGCCTTTAGCTTCTGCTGCTGCCCACCAGCTTCTGGAAGGGGGTGTTTAGGCTAAGCAGAGTTCGGCACTTTCACTGCAAAACATTAGACTTGGTTCTGACACCTTCTCGATTAGACTTTTAGTTGGTGAACGTGCAGCAATTCATTTAATGTTCCTTTCCGTATCGTTTTACACTTATGCCTGGAAAGATGCAGGAACTTCCATTCTTTTTCTAATTAAAAACAAACAAAACTCATGTATAGCAAATTGGTTACTATAGGTTTGAGTGCTTGTGAGTGGAAACTTTCTGCTTTCCTGAGGTGGAAAATTATTTTGGTCCCCCGCCCAAATGATGCCAATTGAAATTATCAAGAGGAAAAGAATTTGCTTTTTTGCTGTAACAAGACATCCCTCTGGTCAATATTATGTCTGTGGTGGTGGCCGGCCTCAAGAGAAGCCCTAGAGTTCCCCTAGGGAAGCACTAGAGTTCTAGAGCGCTAGAGGTTGGCTGCTATCTGGAGACAGGTGGTTTCACATGTCCTCTAAAAAATAAAAAGAGTAAATTTTGTGTCTGAATGTTCCTTCTTCTCTTTTGGAAATAATGTTACGCATTGTCTACAGAGATCACTTCTGTGTGTGTGTTTTTTTTCTTTTCTTTTTTAATTTCACCTGACAAAGGTGATGCAATTTTAAAATACTGACTAGTTTAAGAATAGCTTTTTGCTTGTTTTGGGTTGGTTGGTTTGTTTATTCTTTTACCCACCCAGCCCAAAGTTCAGAAACATCCCCTGTTCTTCTTACATGTAGGTTTGTGATTACGTGCATGCCTGCACATGTAAGTGCACATGCTCTTCCTCTTGGTTAAGCACCTTTTAAAGGTGTTAAAAGAAAAACAGATGTTACACTTAAGGTCCTAAAATAACAATAGCAAAATGCCTATAGATATTTAGGCCTCATTTGCTCCCTTTCTATTTTCTGAAAATTGGAAAATCAGATCAGCATGTTCTGATCTAAATAAGATAGTAAAACAAATTTTTTGGTCCTAACAAAGATTTTTTTTTTTTTTTAAATCTCTTGAAGTGATGGAAGCAAAAGCAGTTCCATGCTAAAGTGGCTGTTTCCGCTCCCATGCGAGGAGAGGGGAGAGAAGCACGGGAAACACAGTGCGGACTGCCTTGCAGCCCCGGACTGCGTGGGGTTGGTGTGGCCCGAGGGAGGGGAGGAGGGGCGGAAGGAGACGTACTGCATGACTCCACAACTTGTTTCAAAGATCAAAATTTATTACACGAGTTACAACGGTGCAAAGCAACAGTTCTTATTAACAGAAACTTAGCTCAACTAGAATACTTGTTTTCTAATCATGTTAAAAGTTATGCTAATGGTAACTACTTAGTAAACAGACAAAGCTAGCTGATTTATTCTAATTGTAGTTACCCAAACAAATGGGCTAGGCAAACCAATTCTGGTTGATTGTACCCACCGTTGCCTCAGTGCCCAATGTACCCTCAGTCCCAGGGAAGTAAGTGTGGGAGGGCATCCCTGTCCAGAGGGGCTTAGCGAGTTGGCAGACCCACTGTCACCTGTGAAGAGCCCAAGATGGCCTCTGGGACCAACTTATTTGTACCCCTCAGGGGAAGGGGGAGCTGCTAGGCCCGTTGCAGTTCTCTGCACACAGTCGCGGCCCTTAGCTTTTGGCTATTGCAGGGTTCAACTCTCTTCCATCAATGTTACGATGATGGCACCCATGGTGGTGGCGTGGGGGGGCTGGCCGAACGCCCCCAACGGCAGGCTAGCTGCCTTGAGAAAGGACTCGGAGTGACTGTGAATGACTGCTTTACTCTTGCAGTGGTGGTCCCAAGGAGACATCCCGTAGCTCAGGTAAGGAGGAGTTAGTTCCAGTCTGTGGTGCTTAACACTGCCCCAGCAGTGAAAGCAGGTGTCATCTCTCAAGGCCCTGATGAGGAGGAGATGATTGTAGACCCCAAGAATTAGCACTGGCCCAGCACTGAGAGGGGGCTGGCTTTTAACAGCAGGTTGTACATGGGCAGCTGCTGAGAGAGGCTGGCTCTTCTTTTGCTGTTGTTAATGACTTTCTTCTCTGACCTTTATTACTAATGCATCTTCTTTAAGAAGCATTTAATGTGTGAAGACAAAAGGTTGTTTTTATTAATCTCTTACTTTTTTTTTTGTATACAGAACCAAAAGAGAGATGGTGCCGACTGAAAGGAAATCTGCTTTTTCTAATGAAAAATAAGGTAATTCATTTTCCTACTGCTTCTCTTGATGTGTTATTCTAATCTCTATCAACCTGAGTAATCCTTTTTTATGATGGCTATTGGCATTGTGCTTTTAGGGACAAAAAATCACCGCTATGAGAATAGCGGAGAGGAAAAAAAATCCATTGTTTACTTTTGTATAACATTAGACATTCTTCACGATATAGATGATGTTCCTTTTAGCTGAATCCTGAATAGTTTAGGACCAGGTTCTGCTCATGATATACACTGATGTAAATCCAGAGTTACTGTGTGGAATCTAGTGGAACAGTGAAAGCAAAATTTCATAGCTAACTAAAATATTGTGGTAACAAATAAGATGCAGTTTCAGACAGACTGCCACTACAATTTTTTGTGTCATTTTGTACTAAATTTGTTGTGAAGAGTAGGGCTATTTTCACCTCCTTTATGCACAAATTATTTGCTTTGAAGTAAAGAGCAATTATGTGGCTAGAATGAAGGGCCTATCCAAATAGTGTCTGACCCTGCCACATAATGAATGTCTTGCAAGAGGCACCGAGTGCCCTCGTTTGCCATTCACTTTAACAGGAGTTGAGGCCACTCCTTCCCTAGAAGGAATGAGCACTAGGTGTGGAATTGCCTTTTTTCTTACCCTTTTTGTCTGGTAAGATGAACGCAGCTCCTGCAGTTGGCTGAAAATAAGAGCTTTTGCACTCAATTGTAAATTAAGGCAGTGAGTATGAAGCTTGAAGTGATAAGCTGACATTAGCAGGAAGTATTTTGTAGTGGGCTTCTAGAATACTTTTGTATTTTATGGACCAGTGGTTTAACAGACACGGAAGTAATGCTTTACAGATTGTAAAGCATAGCTCTTTGGAAGTTTTTCAACATGATACAGTGGCTTATTTTACTACAGTGATAAATGTGCATGTGTGTACATGAGGTATACTTCTAATCAGTGTTTACTTTTAAAGCAGTGTTCAGGAGCATGCCTATGATAGGCGTGCATGTGTGCACGCCTACAAAATGGTACGGTATGACATAAAGGTTTCACAGGCGTGAGTTTGGTATGGCTGCATGTCTTTGGTAAAATGAGAAATAAATCTTATTTAGGTGCAAGCAAACTCATGGCAATGACACGCTTCTGTCACACCCACGTACGTTATGGTCCTGCCATGTGAGGCAGGACTTGTAAGGTTTAAGAGAGTTCCAAACTGCTCTTTCTGCCCTGCGTTCCTCCAAGCATCTTTTCTTTTCTTTTTGCTTTTTGAGCCACCTGTATGCTAAGTCGTTCCTAACTCTGTACTGAGAACCCTAAGGGATGAAAGGAAGGGCAAAGTTACTTTCTCTCTAAAAGAGAGAAACAGTGGTCCCTGTTTTCACGGGAGCCACTGGTAATCTGCACAATAGTTTTAGGAAACGGCTTGATCACCTTTGCATCTGTGAAGAGAGGAGAGGGAGAATTCACTGAACGCAAATTTAGTTATCAGTTTAATTCTTTAGTTTTCCACTGCCGATGTTGCTGTATAGGTGAGATTCAGTGTGGATCAGCACTGAGCTTCACAGGATTTGTTTATGTGCAGGTCAGATGGAGATAGGTAGAATGATGAATATGTGGCAGTCTGTCAGCTGATTTTCTGAGCAAGCTGGATCCACTCAAGCTGGTCCAATGCAAAACTGTATGTTTAGAAACTTGTACAACAGGAGACAAAATCTTGGCTTATAGTTTCTGAAGTGATTTAGGCTTGCAGTGAACAAATGGGAGTTCCCCTTGAAATGCTGTGGTTTGACTGAATCAGTTAAGTACTAAGGTGCATGTGTTTTATCTCTGTGTGTAGGTCAGTACGACAAAACTGCATCCAGGTCTGGTTCCCTTGTTTAAAAGCATGTGAGAGTTTCATTGTTGTTGGGTCTGTGGTTTTTGTTGTTGTTTTTTATTTGCAGAAGTTACAGAAGAAGGATACAGATAGGGTTAGAGGCCTAAATCTGGGAGTTCTAGTAAGTTGAAACTTACCAAAAACAGCACCAACTGGCGACTTGATTAAAGTCGAAGGATTTTTACAAGGTGAATTTATTGGGTACTTTTTTTAATCAAGGAGGTCACAACTGGAGGAAAATCTGGATTTTGAAGTCTGACAAATTCAAAGGATGAAACATGATGACTGACCACTGAAACAAAGCATGAGGACATATAGTGGGTGCTCAGTCGTAGAATGTCACAACTCCCTAGACTCAATACGGAGATCATTGGGTGAAATTAAAGGCCAGTGATTTACAGTAGATTAAGTTAAGTGCTGAAGTGGTTCCTAGTGATCTTATGTTCTAGGTATTTTTGAAAGTCATTTTCGGAAGCTTCTACTATTGGGTACTGTAAAGGATAGTTTCTTTGACAAAGGCAAATCTATGTCAAATCTCAAATCCCTGCTTCAAAGCATGCAATTTATAGGCATACTAAGTGAAAATAATGCAGTTTGTGTGCTGTGAGGAAGAGGATTGTATCCTGTATTTCTTTTTACCCCTCTTGCATTCTAGAGATAAGAGGGATCTCATCTCATCTGAGGGATTTCCTCTTTTTAATGTTCTACTCAAACATTTGCTAATTCAGGAAATGTAGGGTGTGCAAGATGTGCCTAGAACAGCACTGATGAAACCGTGATCCTGTTTTTGTTGCTAGAACCTACCTTGAGTCCTTCTTGTTTAATAAGGAAGAAAAGCAACTAATATTTTGGAAGCTCATCTGAATGTTGAACAGTTAAATCCAGCAGACACTGTTCTGAAATGAAGAC